CTGCTTAGTGTATCTTTGTAGCTGATTGAAATGCAAAACTCAAAGAAGTCTTGCAGGATTTTGGTCTCTATGACCTTCGAAAGATCAAACAAGGTCACTAACCTCAAGTGAGCGTGTGACCTTTGGCTTAGATCAGGTATGTAGGTTCTGGGGGCACTTTAGAGAACAGCCTGGTGTTCGTCCTTGTTTGACCTTATTTGACCCGAAGGTCATAATCTAGGAACCTCAAAATTTGATCTAAGTGAGTTCACGTAGAGGGCAATACACTCTGTGAATTTGGTGCATCTAGCTCACTTAGATCATGAGATCTCGGGGGGGGGTCAAATTAACCCCCACCTGAGCGAATGGTATTCAACCGGCCACCCGGGTGCTTGTTAAGAAGGGCAGAGCTGTGAATTGCACCGAATTATTTTCAGGATGGCTTTTTGAGTTCAAAATTCCATATAAACATGGAACACTCGCTTTTACTTGTAAAGGGGCTGAGAAGATTTCACCGTCTGGGACGTGTGAATACCTCAGAAGGACTTAGGAAGAAGAACGATACCTCAGAAGGACTGAGCAGCCGGGAATGAAGTCAAATAATGTAATTGGTATAGCCTTAAAGGGCTTGAAGTTCTGATGCGTGACGCGCCTTGTGAGACGGACACGCTGTCAGGCTCGGCGGCAGGGGCCATAGATCCAGTCATAGGCCATGCATCCCCAACTCTGGGAGAATGTTGTCATGTGACTCCTAAGCTAATGCGATGGAGTAAAAGGCAACAAAGGCCGCATCCCCTGAGCGTACCAGAGCCCTAGTCGCCAGTTAATGGAATTCATCGGACCTCCACTGGTCTGACACGGTCCGACGAGACAAACTGTAATACATTAAGTGCCTTACGGCCGCTTTCCGCTGCAGTGGATGTGAGGTGATGACTTCTGTGATCCTAACATTTGCAGGCGCCCCAAACAAAATCAGCAAAGCATGGGCAGCATGGTCCTATGGACCGATGTTTCCACACATTGACAGCGTGTTTTGGGAATGTCTTCGAATCACTGAAACTATTGCTACCCCAAAACCAGTCTACCCCGAAGATTGCTTTAGCCTCACGGATGGAATAACTGTCCTGACTACCGTCCCTGTCTGTTGTGTCATTGTGCGCACAACGTTTCCGCCAGTTATCCCGCCAGCCATCGTCAGGCGTTATGGAGTGCTGATATGGACTTGGTGATGCTTTGCTTTCAGCCATGTATGCGCGATAACCCAAATTCACTTTTTACATTGTTAGGATTCGAAGTAGGATTCGAAGCAGTGTCTGCCAATTGCGAGTCCAATGTTCTACCAACTAAGTGAACCGGGAAGGATGGTGGTCCGAACAAAGTTCCTCCTCGTGCTAGTGGTACTTCGTGAAACTGGTACTTCGTAACACTGGTACTTTGTGATACTGGTACTTCGTCTCAGTCCTTCCGTACACTTACTTTAGTCCTGTGTTCGAGGTCAAGTTAAGCAAAATGTTGCGGAAAGCGTAACGTCGCATCTTGCATGAGCGAATGTACTCAGCTCATGTGACCTTCTATATTTGAAAGGGATCCTGAGCCCTATTACGAATGACGAGATATTTTATTTAATACGCGTAGCACACGTTACTGGCTTAACACGCGCTCGGGTGGGGGTCAGCTAAAAAAACTGAAGGTTTTCCAGAATGATTTCCAAACGCCACGGTGTAGACACGCTAAACCTGAATAGCTGTGGATAATTGAATAGTTAATATTTTGACGCAAAAAAGTAGATGCACCTCGTAAGGTCGCTGACCCATGGCAGGTCAAAATCGGGCAATGGCTGTCGGCGAAGGATATTTCTAGGGAATCGTTCAATGTGGCACAACGGCAGAGTGTTAGACAAAGCCATGCACATATGAAATGAACGGCTAAGCTATACAATAATTCAATCTGAAGTCACAATGAATTCCATTGACCTAGGGTCAGGTATGATGGTCAGACCGAGGCCAAAACCAACCTGTTTTTTGCACGCAGGTTTGGTTTGTGGCATAGCTTCCGGTGCTTTTTTCGAATTTATTAGTAACAGGGACCCCAGCAGACATATTCCATGCACTTTTCAAGGTTAGAGTGGGTCACTGACCTAAAATGACTCAGGTCAATGTCTTGTTTTGAACAGCGTATCACCCAGTGCAATCTCTCATGTTAAACCGAACGACAGCCCTGGAGCAATCTCGCAGGTATTTAGTCGCCTTGATCATATAAAGGTCAAACAAGGTCACTGAATTTAATTGGACACCATTAACCTTTTTCTTAGGGCAGAGATATAGCTTCACGGCGGTTGCGTGAGGAGGCTTGGAGGCACTTTAGACACTTATCTGGAATTTGACCTTTTTGACGTTATTTGACCCCAAGGTCGTAACTAAGGCACCTCGAATTTTGGCGCAAGTAAGTTTGCATACAGGTCAACGTACTCTGTCAGTTTGATATTTCTAGCTCCTTAGTTTTTGGGATATCAAGGGGTCAAATTGACCCCCACCCGAAGGATATTCAACTAGCCGCCTGGGTGTATGCAAGGTTATAAGGGTAAAAATCTACGTAGACATGGCGTAATCATGGGACTAAAGTTTAAAAGCCCATGGCATGGTTTTCGGTCGATGCTATGAAATTTGGGTGTATATCATATCTCAGCAATGTATGTGTGTAAGTTTGGTGTATATCATATCTTGGTACTATCACATATCTTGGTACTGCAGTACTTATAGGGAGCGAAACGTGAAAATAAGGTAATGTGAGGAGGGCGTGTGCCAAGAATTTCTCAAATACTGTTCTGTGATCTTTGGTGTTGGTTAACTTGCAGATCCAAACTGTCGGAGGGGTCAGGTGAGAAAGGTGCGTAGGGAATAATCCTTCGACAACTTCGATATGCCCCCAAGACTATTTCCGAGCTAAGATATGGACCACAACGTTTTGACTGGCGGCAATCACAAAGATTACCAGAAACTGTCCCATTTACAGGAAAACTTGCTTCCTTGAACTGAAGTGGTGTGCGCTGCATTTACGCCTCCCGGGATTAGCCACTCACCACCCCCATTAAGGCAGGTTAACCCTGTATCCACCGTACCAACGCCCCTCCTCAGGCTAAGGCTACAGGATTGTTTCTGAGCACTTCCGGCTTAAGTTCTCGGGACAAAGTACGCCGTTCAAGTTCGTGGTGCGTGGTTAACCAACTGGAGCAATATTTTAGAGCACGTTGTTTAACACGCGTCCGAGTGGTCGGCTGGGTACCCTTCGGAGGGAGGGAGTGGGTCACTTTGCTCCCCTTTTGAGATCTCGGGAACTAAGGAAGCTAGAGACACTCCAACTGACCTCCAAAAAGTCCATAGCAGATGCGCAACGCAGTTCCTGCTATCAATAAATTCGAAATGAGCGCCAGCAACTATCCATACAGCAAGCGCCAGAGTAATAAAACAGATTGGTTTTGAGCTTGGTCTCACATTTATACCCAACCTTAGGTCAACGTTATTTGTCCATTTAAGACTTGGCTTACCTAAGAAAGCACCTCGGTGACGAATATTTGCATATATATATATATATATATATATATATATATATATATATATATATATATATATATATATATATATATATATGTATATATATATATACATATATATATATATATATATATATATATATATATATGTATATGTATATATACTGATCGAAGGCTTCGTTTGTAACTTCCACACTTGTAGTTTGTAACTTGTCATTTGCCCGACAACACACTTTGGTCTCACCTGACATTTTGGCGAGCGGTACCAGCAATGCTGCTCACTCGCAAAATCTGAGGACGTAACTAGACAAGCACAAGGGACAGACAGGCTCTCTGATGTTAACATGCTGTTAACATGAAGTAACATCATTGATAGCGCTGGCAAGCTGTTACTCGCCATTGTTGGGGCCATTGCCACGGTCAATTATATCTTCACAGCTTTAGAGAATCAGTAGTAACCCATTTAAGCATTACTATTCAGCAGGTGTTACTGTACGATGTTGTATTTGTCCTCTTCATTTGACTAGCTGATTTCCCATTTCTAAACAAGAAGTGACGCGGTTTTATAACATAGGTTTCCCACATAGGTATTTAGCATTTGTGCCGCTAACTGAATAGGGCAGGAGCTTTTGTCCAGCTTTTCAAGGGTGATTGCGTACATTTAACAAGCATAGCAGGTATATTTGAAAACATTTTTTACCACAGCGCGCGTTTTTCGCATAATATCCGTTTCACAGCAAACATCTTTATTCAGGCCAATACGCAGACCAGTATTTCATTTCCACATGCAGCATATTACAAACTACTCTTCAAAGCTTCTGACACAAAATGTGAATGCCACATAACCTTAACCAGACTCAACACAACTGGGGAGCTGTAGCATGTTTTCCCTCATTCATTTATCCTTTCTTTTGACCAGAAATTTTTATTTTACACCACTATGGCACCGCGATGTTCTAGCCTTGGCGCAAGCAATACGAGTGATAATCAGTGGTCCTGGCATGTGAAGAACAGCTTGGTTTATTGCCTTACAGCCGAAGTTAAAAAGGCAAAACGGGTATATCCCAGATTCTTGTGATTTTAGAGAAAATTTTGCTTTTTGGGATCAAAATCTCATCTCTCTTTTCCACACAAAGTTTTATCATGCGGCGCATTGGACGTTACTTGCGGATACACCTATCATCCGAAAAAGCGGACAATGTCACTGCGGCTAGTTGTTGGTGGTCAAGGTCGGGGTTAAGGCGGCGCCCACAGGAGCGACGCCCGGACTCCGGCCCCGGGCAGTTGTGCCGGCACCGCTGTTCTGGCGAATACGCTGCCTCCACATGTGATGGCGTCGTTGATACCAACAAGCCCGACAAAGCCTTACATGTATGCCGGCAATCAGATGGTTCACCTGTTGAGTTCCCTTTCACTGTCTTGCTCACTTGCATATAGTAGAATGGCTGTAATGACGATGTAATTCTGTTTTCAGGTCCTCCAACGTTCCTGATTTTCGGAAACTTATGGACAATAATAGAGGCCATAAAGGGAAACTTTCCATCCGTGGTTAAAGCAAGCCGTCAAAAGTTCGGCGACATTTTCGCATTCGTGCACCCTACCGGTGACAAAGAAGTGCACCTTTGCAATTTTGACGACATTAAAGAAGTCTGCAAAAGGCAAGAGTTTGCTGGGAGGCCACAGTCCTTCCCGCTGCTGGTGCGAAGTTACCAACAAAAGCTGGGCCTATTTTTTAGCGAGGGACCCAGCTGGAGGGAGCATCGCCGCTTCGCCCTGCAACACCTGAGGGATCTGGGTCTCGGAAAGACCTCGATGGAGTCGATTATCCTGGAAGAGTTTGAACAGCTGGCAAACGAAATGGCTGGGAAGAGCGGCTCCCCGATGGAAGTGGTCGGCCACTTCAACCTAACGGTACTGAACATTATCTGGCGGTTGGTGGCTGGCACACGGCTCGACCGCAGCGACGAAAAAGCTCAGCGTCACGCTGCGACCGTCAGAGAATTCTTTGAAACCATTGGCCCGACGAACCCGCTGAACTTTGCGCCGTGGCTGCGTCACCTCCTTCCCGAGTGGAGCAGTTACGCGTCACTGATCCGCCACCGCGACACCACGACTGACATGCTCGCGGAGCTGATCCGCGAGCACAAACGGACGCTGAACCGCTCCAGCCCGCGTGACTTCATCGATCTCTTCCTGCTGGAAATGGAGTCTCCTGACGCCGAGGCGCGCCAGTTCACGGAGCAGAACCTGACAATCATCAGCATGGACTTCCTCATCGCCGGCATGGACACGACGGCCAACTGGCTCAGCTGGGCGCTGCTCCTGCTGGTCAGGAACCCGCAGGTGCAGGAGCGAGTGCAGCGAGAGATCGACACCGTGCTGGGCCGTGCGGCCCCGACGAGCGCCGATCGCGCTCGCCTGCCCTTCACCGAGGCCACTATGATGGAGGTGTCGCGCAGGGCGCCGGTCGCGCCGCTAGCGGCTCCGCACAGCGCGCTGAGCGACGCTACTTTCCACGGATACACCATCCCCAAGAACACCACGCTCGTGCTGCACTTGCACTGCGTGTTCATGGACCCGGATTACTGGGGCGATCCGCTGGCCTTCCGGCCGGAACGCTTCCTGCAGCCGGACGGCAGCGTGCGACGCGACGAGCGGCTCATCCCGTTCGGCATCGGGAAGAGGCTCTGCCTGGGCGAGACACTGGCACGCACTGAGACGTTCATGCTGTTGACGTGCCTGCTGCAGCGCTTCCGCTTCAGCGCCGCTCCAGACCAGCGCCTCTCCTTAGAGTCCAGCCTCCTCTTCGTTCAGCCGCCCCGGCAGTTCTCCGTAACATATGAGCTCCGTGACTAGCTGTTGACGTTGGACACTGTATAACTATTACAAGCCCATGCCCTTGGAGAACGTTTGCAATCTACCGGCGCTATGTCTATATCACAGTTTTGTTCATGTCCATGGCAATTGTAACTCCCATGGGCATGTATGTATCTCATATATATGTGTATACATATACATATATATATAAGTATATATATATATATATATATATATATACATGTCCTATGTCACTAACCATGACATTGGTGGCTTTAGCCTGTGTTTACTCTTATTACATGTGCTTAATGCTTGTTCAGCTTCGTCGAAACCAATGACAATATCGATAAGTGAAGCGCCCAAGCAAGACGTCTATTGTAAATGCATCGGGTCCCCATCCCTGAAAAGGACAGTTTGGGGTTCACACGCACTGCAGTATTCAGTCCGTCGAGAGCGGTGGCGTCATTAGTATGGCTATTCCATTCAGGCCTACTCCCGCCGGCGTACACAGATTCAGGGACAAGAGACTGTCTGAATTGTTATAGTGATCATACTGATAGCTCCCTGTCGTGCTAGTCGTTTTTGGCTGGGCACATAAATGAATGCAGGCGGTGTTGCGTGAACTGCAAATTGTTAACAATTCCGAAGCATCTGGCGCTTAATACTAACGCAGCAATCCAACATCGCTCCTAAATGACTTATTCCAACTCAGACGGTTTTGTAATGCTGACGGCTGCCCTGTGACGCCTACCTTTCGTTTTGCGATACTTGTGCGTTGCTTTTCTCGGCCTAATTGAGACAGGGTGCCGTTTTTATAAGTTCCCAGCCTACGCCTTGTAGGCAGAGGGCGGTCTCAGAGGCACAAATAAGGTTTTATAATAGCTTCCAAACGGTATTGGGCACGGTGCTGAGTCTTCAGTAGCTGAGTTCGCGCCATTGACACACGTGTGATTAAAACCCGAAATATCAGAATATTAAATATCTATGACCTCTTTGTCGGGTCATGTTGGTGGCATTGTGATCAGAACTGACCAGCGACGCTAATTTCTCGAGGGGGATTTGTTTTGAAGAAGATGTCTTGACCGCCTTTTTGATCAGCATCATTTAGAAATGCATTTATGTCGCACTGACGGTTTTCGTAAGGCAAAGTGATATAGGGCTAAGCTAAATCATGCTTTGGCTTTCGTGACAAGCGTTAATCCTCCCAATATATGACCTAATACTTAATGGCACAGGTTTTGCAGCGCTGGCGGGCCATTCTAACGCGATTTTCCCATTGATGCTACTTATCTAGCTTTATCGCCAGGCCGGCCAATGGAACGATGGCCTTCATTCCTTTGGCCAGATATCACATGTGATAACTCCTCCGACCTGGTGTTACATATGATAATTGCCTTGACCTGATATTGCATGTGATAATTCAAATGCTTCAATGCTCGTTGGTGCCCATAGATAAAAGGGATCTATGAAGCGTTAATTCGACCGTTATGATCTGATTGACCTGTCAAATGTCACAATCACTGCTTTTAAGGAACACCTGTTTGATATGGTTTGACAAGACTTTTCCGGTGCTGTTTTTCCCCTGGTGCTAACTTGCTTAAAGCCTTAGGTCTTCAGGTCGGGGATCCTGAGCCTCACCCTTAGTGGGGGGCAAAGCCGATAAAGCTCTCATAGGGCAAGGGGTAAGGTTTGAAACGGGACGGTAGACAGAGAAAGCAAAGTACATTGAAGCACCGACAAATAAAGAACCCTCAAATGTCATTCCCCACTGAAGCCAGAAACCGTCATGGCTTGCTCACCGCCTACACCATATCTGCAACGGTAAACAGAAAAGCGAGAAGCCTGCGTCAAACACCTCTCGGTAAAAATTTAACGTGGACAGGGTGTAAACCAACAGGAATGGACTCGGGTCGTTCAGCCGCGCATCTGACGATTCCTCGAGGCCAACAAATAACCCAACCAAGTTTGGGGCACAGACACTGATGTACTTCATCGGGCTAGCGGAGGCTCAGATGATCATGACTGTATGCATGACGCTTAAGTGGCACCTTCTCAATCGTAGCTTAATGGGGCACTTTACGCTCCAGCTGAGCCTATTGACATGGTGGCGACAGTGGCACCGCGTAGTGGTCAAGTGCGGGATGCGAGTTGCACAGCTATTGGCGAACATAGAACTGAGGTTAGTTTGTACAGCTGGTTCATGCATGCAAAGTGATCCTTGCAATACCGGCTCCGGTCTGTTCATCAGGGACGCGTCTGGCCGGCTCCGGTCTGTTCATCAGGGACGCGACTGGCCGGCCATTGTCTGTTCATCAGGGACGCGTCTGGCCGGCCCTTGTCTGTTCATCAGGGACGCGTCTGGTCGGCCATTGTCTGTTCATCAGGGACGCGTCTCGCCGGCCCGTGTCTGTCCATCAGGGGCGGCTCTGGACCTCGGAGGGCGTGACTCAACTCCCCGGCGCGGTCAGGACGCCGGCCAGCACCATGGTGTGGGGTCGAGGAGACTGTGGCGCGCCGACAGCAGTGCGGGGTAGCCGGGGGGGGGGGGGGGATGACGACAGCCTTCAGCGGGAGGCGATTGCCCCCCCCCCCCCATGCCGGCGTTGGTTCATGCAAATTACCGGTGTTCGGACATGCAGAGTTTCTAAGCATGTGTGGAAGATGCCTAGCACGTTGTTTAAGATCGCGAAATCTCGTCATAGGAAACACAAAAATTATATCGCTCCAAAATGACCCAGAAGTGCCAAGCACAAAGTACATTAATCAGATAAGCTGTGTCAATGCACTGTCATAGCTTGCACAGATTGCAGCAATATTCTGTTCATCCGTGCGATCAGTTGTCATTTCTGGCTGTAGATCGCCACGTTAGAAAGCAATATTTCTTCGCGATGAGCATCATTTGATGAGCCAATGCCAGTGGTGTCAGAAAAAAGAACGTATATATCAGCATACAGATTCCATGACAATGAGCTCATCGTGTCAAAATGGCCACGCTTTCTGCTGCTTCCATCCAGCAATCCTCTGCTTCGCGACATCTGCCAGCGCGGTATGATATTTTGGTTCTATGGCCGTGTCAAATGCGGCGGTTATTTTGCATCCATAGCACATCTGCCGAACGGGTAGCGGTACCCAATGTACTATGCCGGCTCACGTTCAAAAAGTATGTCTGCGCTGTCAAAAATACCCGAACGAATATGCCAAGCCCCTGTTGCCTATTGTCGAATATTGCGCCTGCTCATCTTGCTCATTTTTGTGTGAATGGCAAGCAATGGCGCTTTTGCATGTAAGAGAGCACTAAACACGTCGTCATGCAATATTTTGTAGAGCGCCACTGACTACAGATATCATCCTAGCGGTCGGCGGCCACGGCGCTACCCGGGTTTGAACTCAAGTCTTCTACGTGGCAGCCAAAGGTATTAACCACTCGGTTACTACGCTCCCACAACTGCGTGCTTCCACATGGGTTTGCGTTGTATTTCTCGGATTTGTCACTGTCGTCTCTTTAAAATACTAGCGCTATGTATTTCCGTGGTCATTCAGACCCGAATACACAATACGTAACAAACAAAACAAAAGCAAAAAACAGTGTAAAGACGCGAGTCGCTTTAATAGCTGGTAAACGATGAGGAAACTCACCGCGACCGGGGAAAATGTTGCCTTCTACGGCGAAGAGGAGATGGTTATGAACAGCAGCTGTTCAATCATTGGCGACTAAAGTAGGCTACCCGTCGACTCGGCACCATAATAGCTTGTGTTCCTCTGCGTATTAGTATGCGAAGAAAATTACACTGGTGCTACAAATTTTCGGACTCGGTTCCAGCTTCCTATCCAAAAGACACCCGAACGTCGTTGCCAAAAAAGCCGAGTTCTCGCGATGGTTGGGGTTTCGATGAGCATATCTGATTTTGGTGTTTCATGCCACGCAATGGAGGAGAAATCAAACTGAAAAATCAAACTGAAGTATCATGCACAACGATAGGCAAGACTGTGACAGGATTCGGATTCTCGGCTCCTGAGAAAAGGCTCTGCAGATAAGCATCCCCGAAGTCGCCGACCTCACGTGGTGGCGAAAGCGAAGACGACGAAAACGACGCTGATGTGGGGCCCTGAACCAAGTCCTGACCGGACCCCCCTCCGAACCCAACCACCTCCTTCAGATCTGATAACGACGAGCTCACCAACGCGACTCCCAGGTCTTTAGGAGACCCATGCGTGACTCCCTGGGAGCCACCAACTTCCCTCGGCTCGGAGAGCGACACGGTCGGCGGCGACGAGAAGGTTTGCCTGAGCGGTACCGGCAACCCGGCATCGATCGCAGGGAAGGGTGTGAGCTTCCTCTGGTCCCCGTCACTCTGGGTGACGGGTGCTTGAGGAAACGAGGCTGGCACATCAGCCTGGTGGCTGTCTCCTCCGAGCACCTGATAGTGGTGCGGGGGACGGTAGCCGTGGCCAGCTGCATGGAGACCGCCGTGGCCGCCCTGGTAGATGTGCTGCGTCGGAGCGCGGTAGCTGCCGTGTGCCGGCACCCAATGGGGACCATGTGGCGGCTGGGGACGGCGGCCGTACTGCACCGGAGCCCTGAAACCGGTCAACGCGGGCAGACGGGGCGCGCTCTGGTGGAAGGCGGGGACGCGGTAGATGTCGTACTCGAATCCCTTTGAAGGATGCCTGTGGTAGAAATGCAGATGCGTCTGCCGAGTGATATCACCACCCCTGCCGCCCCTGCCGCTCTTGCCGCTCCTGCCGCCCCTGGCGCCCCTGCCGCCGTTGCCTCCTTTGCCGCTGGTCCTGGCCAAGGCGGCTCCGTGGCGGCCAAGGGAAGCGTGGCCGCCGAGCCAGGCGAATCTTCTGCCGTAGTTACCGTGACCTCCTCCGTATTTGCTTCCGTAACCTCCAACACTGCTATCAGTCCTGGGACCAGACAAAGGGCACGAGTCCAGGTCAATGAAGTCGGCATACGTATGATGCGGATCGGCTCGCTTCGCACGGCCGGAGAGCAACAAGGAACCTCAGCATCGACACAAAATTTATTACGATGGTTGGAGCAGGGACGCCATTGGATTGCGAATAATCGTCCAGCGATCTCTACTCTATTTAAGACCCATGTGCGACACTTTCTAAGGTGTCCGATCAGCACCAGGCTGCTGG